TTTTATGTGACCTTGCCAACTTAATTCTTTTGATATTACAACGCCTAAACTTTTATGCTCCGAAACGAAGTCAAGTTGCGTTGTACCAATAGAAACAGGAGCAACAGGCAGATTAGAGGATTTTCTTCAGAATAGCATACGGAAGCATTTGCCAATATTTAGAGGTGGTTGCCATTCCGCTGACCAATCATATACTTTTTTCAGATCATTGTTCATATCAATTATTACTTTCGTCCAGTCGTGATCGCAATGAGACATTGTTGTATCAGCAAACTTTCTGATGATACACCCCATATGTGAGCCAAAATCGTCAGTGTAGACTAAAAACGAGATAGAACCCAAAATAGACCCCTGAGGGACACCTCGATTTATATTTCTTGGCTTAGAGCTCTTCCCACTAACGATAGTTACAATCGACCTTCCAGTAAGATAATTTTGGGACCAATTTAACAGGTTTCCCCTAACTCCTTTTTTGTCTAACTTGTATAAGAGTGCTTTGATCCACACATTGTCATAAGCTTTACTAAAATCAAGAAAAACTGCCAGCGTATCTTTACTGTCTTTAACGTCTTTGCCGTTCTCAAGATCGTTATGTATATTATGACCAAATTCTATTAGTTGCGTGACTGTGCTATGCTTTCTGCGAAAACCAGATTGCATGGCATTTAACAGGTTATTTTTTGTTAGATGATCATATAGAGCATTAAATACTACACGTTCTATAATCTTCGAAAGAATGGGCAACAGTGTTATGGGTCGGTAGTTTTCCGGTAAATAGTGTTCTTTGGCTTTGTATAAGCTCATTACCAACCCAATTTTAAAACTTGATGGAAAAATTCCAGTGTCAATAGATTGCTGACATATATCTCTTAGAACATCAGAAATAAACAGGCTTGATTCTCGCAGCATCCGCGTTGTAAGAGTGCCCGAAGAGGCTTTAGAAATACTTTAATTATTTATAATTTTTTCAATCTTCATTTCGGAAATGGTAATATGATTCAGTGTCTCTTTTGATGTCTCTCAGAATGCCATAAAAGGTAGGTTGTCATTTATTGGTGACATTGTACAAACTGACGCAAAATGTTCATTCAAAAGCTCGGCTTTCCCATAGTTGTCATTAATCCATTGGGAATTTTTATTTTTTAGACTTGGTATACCAGAGCTGACTCTCCGACCCATAGATGATTTCAATAAATTCCACCAACTTCTGTTACTAACATCAATCTCATTTATCCGCTCAAAATACTTTACTTTTTCCTTCTCACCCGCTTCAGAACAAAACTTAGCTGATGGGTGATAAGACTCAGTTATAGGCTTTAAGTTCGCAGAGCAGTTTGCTCGAAGCGCTTTTTTATATTTGTGATATAAACGATTGCGTTTGACATATAAAGAACGGAGATTATCTGTGAACCAAGGTTTATCTCTTTGTCACAAAAGAATTGTCTTGGATGGAATAGATCTTCTTGCTGATGTATTTGAGGTTGGATTTGCTATCCATTGCTTATTGTGCGCATTCAAATCTCCTAAAATTAAAATACCATCAAATTTTTTCTAACGCGTTATTCTGATAATGGTGTTTTGACAGTATAGCGTTTCCACAAACTGCTTACTCATCTTATCGTTTTATGTTGTTAACGATATAGCCATGTTCAAATCCGTTTGTCAGTTCCGTTCTGCAAAACAAATTCTTTTAACTAGTTAGAGAAGAACAGTGTTTATATTAGATTCTACCGAATGGCAAATCAAATTAGGCGGTTTAGTGACAGAATTGTATTTATTGGGAGCAACTCACGTGTATTTATTTGGAAGTAGCCTTCACGACTATCACCAGTCAAATGATATCGATATATGTGTGGATGGAAATATCAAATTACAAGAACAGTTATCTATTGGTGATAAATTTGCAAAAGCGTTTGAGAAACCGATCGATATTGTACATGCCAGTTGCATGGATATGAACGAAACAATTATGAAACATGGAATTTTATTAACATTGGATTCACAAAATCGGTAAATAATGCGTTTGTTTAGCAAATGTTGCAAGCGGTTTTTTCTGCGCTTCTCAGTAGATTCATACGACAAGAGTTCGTGCAGCAGTAAGTTCGTGGCAAGATTAGTACTAAATACTGTAAAAATTTGCGATACCCTTTACAAAGAACTTTTTTTATCAGTATTATTCGGGTAGAGATGCTCAGTGGTGCGAAACTGGAGTTTTTGTACGCACGTGAATAGTTATGGTTGCTGTCGATTTATTCATTTTAGAGCCTGTTCTGCCACGACACATATCCCACTTCCACATACATTAATTGATATGTTGTTAATAGAACTAAAATATATCGAGAAAGAAAAAAGAAATCTTTTGAGAGCAACAGATTCACTTAACGATGTATTACACCGTCATCAATATTCGGACGATACAGAGTTATTAAATGAGGAAATTGATTATGCATGTATAAATGTGGTAGATAGTATGCGACGAATTTATCAACATTTTGAACAGTCACTCTATCGAATAGCTAAGCATCATGATGTAAGGATTTGTATTGTATCTTGTAGCATTATTTAATCCCTGTTGCATTAACGATTTAGATAAAAACAATTAAAACAGAAGGTCGTTGGCACACTGATCTGATCAATTTGTTCAACGGAAGCAATCCTGCGTTGCCGGCCGATTTTGAATCGGTTAATAGAATGCATTAGAAAATTAGGTGCAAGCTCCGCGCCGGACCAAACTTTATGAAACTAAGCTGGTATATGCAGAATTTCAAGGCGAATCCGACAGCGGGCTTCTTATATACACCATCTGATTAAGTGACCAATATTGCAAATCTTTCAGACTGTGTAAGTTACACAGTCTGAAAGATTTGCAATATTGGTTACTTAATCAGATGATGTATACAAAAAAAGTTAATATGAATAAATTAGGAATTAATGAGCATAGAAATGCTATTGATCAGATACATTGCGTGCTGTCAAAGTATGTTCAAAAATTGCAGACAGAGTAACACTCATAGGGTGATGAAGCTCATTTATTAATTTTTCTTTTTGTCAGCAAAGAACGATTGTTTGTGTTTTTATCTACAGTTGTGTGCGTATGTGTTATAAAATGTTCTGTTTTTAATGATATAACAATAGGATATTTTGTTTCTTGGAAAATCGAAGCATTGGAGAGCAATTTAAAGCAGTATCTCTAGTCATAATAAAACCATGGTGCCTGTTTTTCTTCAACTTAATTTGGTTTTTTTATTCCTCTATTATATACTGTAGTTCCTTTCTTCTTGGTTCTACTGTTTACTACCACTGTTTGTTTCTTTGTTTATTTTTATCATTTTTTTCTGCGAAAGGCAGTAGTAGTTAATACCACGTTGGATAAAATGTTCGCTTTCACGCTATACATCATTCTCGCGTTGTTTGCCATTTCTTATTTTTGTTTTGTTATGTAGTTTGCCATTGAGATTATTACATAAATGTAACGAAATTCTGAGTCTGTTCTCTAACTGCTGTTTCTGTTCTGCAAGCCTGAATCAACATAATATTTTAAATATTTAATTACTTTTCAACATTTAACATTTAGATGTACAAAGAAAGAGAACATATTTCTTGTTAAACACTGAAATGATGGACTCAAACACTAGATCGCGCATTAATTGCTATTATTATTTTGAATTCTTTGTTCACTATATGTTTATATGTCCATTTTGATGATGATTATTTTCAGTGAACAGTATTTTACTCTCGTGAATGTTATGAATTGTTGCTGTTAATGCAGTGATGTTTTGTGATGGTGAACATTGTGAATGTAATAGTGAGTGAAGTCAATAGAATAAAATTGAGTTATAGTTAAATTTGGTTGAATAATACTCTAAATTTTGTGGGGTACGATAAGAACAAAGAAAGTGACAGTAAATCTCACCAACATAATGGCAACTTGACGACACTAACGTGCAACTATAATGTTGTCTCGAAGAAGAGCTTTTGGACTGAACAATATTCGACATATTTTCGAATGCCAGAGAAAGAATAAAATAAATATTAGGATACATAATGTACATGAAATCAGATACCAATTGAACCATGATTTTGGAAACTCAGTCATACCTAGAATACACCATTTAATTATGGTTATACGATAAATATCCAGACGACGTTAAATACGTACATGAAATGATTGTTTCATTGTAGATTGCAACAGACGTATTTTTATAGACAAAAAACGGTGCTGATAACAAACATGATATTAACCGTAAGGAGACGACAGTAGGAAATGTATGAAATAACGTTAGTTTCGCTGAAGACTATGAAAGTAAAACAATCTGTTAATAACGTAAAAATCATTGATGTACATAAAAAATATTGCAAACCTTCGATGGTTGACAAATAGCCACATAACGTTCATAACTAATCGTCATTATTATTAAAACCGAACATGTACCAGTTATATTTTGTACAAACGGACTAAAACTACCTAAAGTAAGAAAACATACATACGATCTTAAAAAGTAAATGTTTTTCCGTCTAGGAATTTTCTTATAAATTGTATTCTTTTTTTAATGGTCTGTATTAAATATAAAAGATTATTCTTAAAATTATGGTCATAAACGACATAAATTTAATCCTTCAATTAGACATTATACTTGTTCGAGATAGAAGACTATACTTACACATGAATTTCCTAACGGATGATGTCCTTTAACATACAAATCTTGATAACCATCAGCTGTACAAAACACTAATAACAAAAAACTAGTAGAAAAATAAATAAATATGCACATAATAACTCTTCGTCTTATACCCATCATCATCTTGAAGAGAAATAAAGAGTTCAGAGCTGCATCACATAAATGAATGCATGAGATCAAGTTCAGTGAACACTTGAACAGGCCCTCGCATGGAATTGTTT